TTTCTTTCATAGCAAGATGAGAAAAGTGCGAGGGAGATGTATATTATTCCATCTCACTTCCTTATTTCGCCGCCAAGGCCGTCTACACTACATACACTACAATACATACACATAAGGGGTCGTGACGAAAAAATCTTACACTTTTTGTCGCCTGGCTCCCATCCGCCAAACCCGTACCGTCCGATAAACAACTTCGTTCCAATTATTACTCTAACTGTTACTGAATAAATATAATAAGTTAAAAAAAAAAAAACTTCAGTATCACATAAAATTAAACCGCACATTAGAGGCTCAAAGAACCAAGAGCTAGTTACATTACGTGAGTTACACAGTACGGACAGACTACAATAACGGAAGATTAATTAAATTTATCTCAGAACTACCGAATGGTAAGCACTCGAAGTTGGCTTTCTGGAACTATTGGTTTTCCGCTTTGTGAGAATATGTGCTGTCAGCCCATTTTCTAATAATTTTATGTAAGAAGTTATTCAAACAAGATCTCACCGAGCTAAAAATAATCCAAAAGTGACTTTAAGCAATCGACGTAATTGAAATATTACGTTTTGTACATATACACTGCTTGTTGGTAATCTAGTGACAGCTATTTTAAGGCATGTTTCAAATCTTTTGTTGCCTTAAATAATTTGAACTTTATAATTCCCGACGTTTCGGGGGGACTGAGGTGTTTGACGTCACGATGTCATAGTTAGCCCGGCTAGCTTTAGCTTTTGTATATTAATTATTGGTCAGATCTACGCAGAACGAGCTTACAGTATCTTACTGAGATAGTTAAGCTCGTTTTGCGTAGATCACACAAAAAAAAAATTAAAATTAATGTTTAAAAGCTTAGTTCCAATAATTTTGTAGTAAGATGTGAGAGGAGGGCACCATGGAGCTTTGTATTTCAAAAGCTAAGCTTAACTGCCAGAATTCGTTTAATAGAACATCATAACTATTGTAAAAGATCAGTTATCGTTTTAAGTAGTCCATGAATAACATAACCACTGTCTGTGACATTTATGTGTCATTTAGTCAAAAGATGTAGAAGTTATGACTCTGCGTCCAAAAGAGATGGATAGAACAAAATAATAAGGGTCAGAAACTAGACAGCGTAACCCTTAAATACGTACAATATTCTGACAATATTTATCGTGCCAAGATATTAACATGATATAATCCTCGTTTTGGTAATGAGACATCGAGAAAAAGTCAAGATTACCAAAATCTGGATTATGACACCTATTTTCTATTCTTAAAACGTTCCGTGGCCTAGATTTATTTAGTAGCATAATATTTACTATATTGTTAGAAGTAATTTAAAATGTATTATTACATTATTACTAAACAAGGAGAACAAACAAAATGTTTTTACGAGATAAGTCCATAGACTTTCAGTTTGTGCCATAGATATATATCGATAAAAACTTAACATTACAACTAATAAATTTAATGTGAACGTAGCATAAGTACATAGCGATAGTGATAAAAGAGGTAATAGATTATGTCCAGCGATTGCTTGCGAGTCGACTTATGAGGCTTCGACAATATCTATACAAATAAATAAAATTGAAGTGTCTGTTTGTAATGTCAAAATAACAGCTTTTTACTAAATGCATATGAAAGTATATACGGTACTTATAACAAAAAAAAAAACAATTTTTAAGTGTTTGTCTGTTTGTTCCGGCTAATCTCCGAAATGGCTAGTCCGATTTTGACGGAACACTGGCAGATAGCTGATGTTATAAGGAGTAACTTAGTCTAATTTTATATAAGAAAAAGAATTAAGAGTTCCGCGAAAAAAATAGCCTAAATATAATAAACACGGGGGCGAAGTCGCAGGGAGCAGCTAGTATATAATGTGTGTTGCTGTTTACTCTGATACAGTTTTTGTTGCAGCAATCCAAAGTGAAACTCGCTATTTATTAATTTTGTTTAAGTATTTTGTTTTTCAGGTTTTTCTCTTTTTTTGTAATATTAATAAAGTAAGTTCTTCATTTGGTAGCCACATAATATAAGTCTACACGTTATGGAAACATCAAACAGTGCACGTATGAGGCTGATTTTAATTATTTCAAGCACTTCGTCACGCTCCAGGACGTGGTTGCCTCGCGCGGAAACTTCTTCATTAAACGAATTAGACGTGGCCCAAACGAGCCGTAACTTTTCAAGAATTATTATATCGTATGGAAACAGTTTTTCTTGTTGTCTTTTTTAACCAAACTTCTTATTGCTATAAATAATTGTGCTGTGTAGTAGCGATGAAAAATCATACAAAAAATTTAAGCTATTGTTCAAAAGCTTAGTTTCAATTTAATTTTTTTTTTGTTGCTCTACCTGAAATAGCAAGTTGTGGGAAACATCCACTGCCCCATATCATCCTGTGGGTGACATAAGAGACGACAGAGAAACTGATACTGGATTGATACTGAGATTGGCAGCAGCATCTTTCTAATAACAACTCAAAATAATAAAAGACTACGAAGATTGCCAACATGTCTGTCAATCGAGACAAATAGAGCAAAATCTCCCCAATAAAGCTTAATTGCTTTATTGGGGGGAGATACATAATTATTCAACATTGGAGTTTTGATAGGCTGTAATTAATGAAACGAACGAATGAAATAAATGAAAAACGTGTGCAGTTCACACGCCTCGTATGTGACACCTTCAGAAGACAAATCTACGAGAGAATGAAACGAACGCAGGGTACAAGCTCTATTCTATAGATGTATATGGGGTAGCATTTTCGTTTCATTGAGTTTCAAACCACAAAGTTTCTAAAGAAGTTTCCATTTCAATAATTACCCGAAGCATCAAAAAGAAAACACGAATTCGATGTACTCAATTCAAAAAGGAGGAGGTACTCAATTCGACTGTATTTTTTTTATGTGGGTTACCACATTTTTTTTTCTAAGTGAACCGATTTCGATGATTCTTTTTTTATTTGAAAGCTGTTGCTTCTCATGTGGTTCCATATCAAGGTCTGTGACCAATAGTTTTTGAGTTATCCTTAATAATTTATATTGAAGTCGGTCGTAAGAAGTTGTTATTTTTACCACTTGTGAATTTAATTATTGGAACCAAAAAAAAAGTTAAAAAAAATAAGTCAAAATAAACAAGATAAACGTTTACAAAAGCTTTCTTTGAGTTAACGCAATGATGAGCTATATTATGGTTGCATCACGAATAGATCGGCTCGATCAAAGAGAGACCACAGAATACCACCGCAAAATTTTAATGCTGATGTGAAAGAGATGCAGTTCAAATAAGAAAATGAAAATGTAAATATCAATATATATTCACGCGTGTGATTCACATATCATCGTTATAATTAATTAATAAAGCGAGCGCTCGAATCGCAGAATGTTGTTTAAGGTGTACAAAATCGCGGGAATCACCACCATCGTGAAGACCTGGAATGAGGAGCTCCCATTACGGAACTACGAGGCGTTAGGTAAGAATAACTGTTTTACTTATTTTTTATTCCCGACCAATTAAAAGCAATAAAATTTATAAAATAAAACTATTAATCAAGATCAAGAGTTCGTGTAAATATCAACCATTATAAGAATTAGGTACTGCTAGAGAAGCAATTACCTAAGCGTGTCAGCCTCACATAAATAATCCGACAGCTGCCTCCAAAGTGTGCATATTTATGTATTGTTCATTGTCTTTACGAACGAACGCCGTGTAATATTCCTTGCTTACATACAGAAATTCCTGTTTACGAGTTTCTGCCATCTCTTGTGACTTGCGGCAAGTTGCATTCCTAGAAATTTAATATTAAAATAGAAAATAATTTTCTTTATGGTGTGTGTCCTCGCATCTGGTATTCAATATAGTGGAAATTGCTGCAAGGAAAAGGCATATGAAAACTGCATAAAATCTTATCTTCACCAAACGAATTTTCAATTTTCGGAGCAATTTGTAAGTTAGAAAAATTGAAACGTGAAATTATAATTTCGTTCAAAAAATAATTCCAATTGTATTTCAACGTCTGCAATCTTACAAAATAGACAGAGACAAATTTGGGAGACATTAAATAAAGTGTATGTACCCTTTAATTAATATTATAATAGAATAATAATTTCTTATGGTGAGCGTAGAGAACCGAAACCGGAGCTAGTAATGAGGCATTTCATCTTAATCCTCAGGGGTAACGACTGACGACACATATGCGTTTTGTTTCTGAATCAAGGAACAGTGTCGATGTCTACGGTCACATTTACTTAGGTGGACTGTGCTCTCGCTTTGGGTGACTCTTTTTTTAAAGTTATATTAAATTAAGTGTAAATTATAACTTATAAGTTAAAAAATCCTCGCAGTAATGCAGTTATATTTGAACACGAACAATTTATGGATCCGTACTTTCAATAAAGTACAGGCGTGACCCGGAGCTTTAGTCGACCTCTCACTCGATGAAGAACTCACGATTCAGCCGCATAGTCTAACCGCTTTTAGTATAGATTTACGTGAGCTGTGGCGGGGTATACTTAGTGCTGAAAAGGCCAAAATTTGGGATCGGTCTTAAATTTAAAATTAGTGTTTAATGTTATGGAGATTTTGTAATAATATTGAAAGTTTTTTTTAAGTGAATCTTATTTATCGACGTAATGTAGCAATTTAGTGCGGTATTAAAAAACAAAAACGTCACGTTTTCTTATAACACGTTTCACCGCCGTGGTTGAACCAGTATAGGAACTATTATTTAACCTACTTATGTAAAATATAAAATAAAAGAAGATCGATAATATGTCGTAATTAAGTTTCACTTCGTACATGTGTACACAATAGGGTATTTTACACCATGTAAAAAAAATATATTTATGATAAAAAAAAATTGTAAAATGTAAACAAGAAATATTGATTTCTATTTATAAAAATGCATTATAAATTAAATATTTCAATTTTAAGAATAATTTTTTATCTGAGATTCAAATCTGTAAAACGCTGTCCGCCATATTAGATACCATCGTGACGTCACTGGTTAAGAGAACTAGTTAATGTGCTGTGTTATTTCGAATTTTATTGAAAAGGTAACATGGAAGACCAATATTTATTCTATTAATTTGAATTCGTTTAACATAACCCATAATCTTACATTGTGTGTAATTTTCCATGTCATTTTCCAGCTAAAACATGCCATAATCTTTATGACAATTGAAATCAAAGCCAGTTTATTACTTCGCTTTTAGCACTAATGTTATAGTAGATATTATAATATAAGCTTAGGTGAGAAAAACTTTTTGTTATATTTTTGTGTACACACATTATTCCCATATAATAAAACAAAACACGAATTAAGTAAAACACTGCACTGTAATTATAAGGGCTGTCAAAATGGCTCACAAAGGGCGGGACAGACAAACGATTAACCTAATCTATTACAAAATTTGATTTGCAATAGGTCATGCACCTATCATGTCATGATGTTTTGTTTTGTATAAACGATAATTAAATATAAGTCATACTTACATCAAAGTGATCTTCACAGAAGTATAGTTTAGATTTGTAGTATAGTAAGTATAAGTATAGTGAGAGACTTTTTGCCAGATTTAACCAAATATTTCTCATATTTAAATCAATTGCCACTTGAATCCATAACTTCTCCGGCGTTTTTATGCTCGTATTTTTGCATTCAGGTACAATACAACAATGATACAGATGATAACTCATTATTAAACAAACAAAAGTATCTTATTCCTCTGCAAAATCGGCAAAATTCTAACACAGACGCCACGAGTGGTGCATGGCAGCTAGCGTTCTCAAGCGAAAATTTAAAACGATAGATTAAGAGTAATTTTTATGGAACTATTCGGATTTAAAAATATATATATAAAAATTATAGTGGTTCATTATCACTTTTGGATTCATTTAAAACAATTTTTGAAAATGGTTGTTATACCCTATTACACGCATAATTTTTTTATCAGAAAAATGCTAATTCGTAAATTTTACAGGCAAAATAATATTAAAATTAATTACAATTTAAATTTTTATACGAAAAAAAAAACAGTATTCCAGTCAAGTTAACACTTTAATGCATTCTTTTATTCATTACAGCCCACCAAACATATGTCATAGTCGCCACGCTTGGCACGCGGGTTAGCAACCGCAGTTTTTTTATTATTTCAGTTGTTATTAGGAAGATGCTGTCGCCCAACCTCTGATTCATTTCCCTGTGTCGCCTCTTACGATACCCACGGGATGATATGGGGTAGTGTATTCTAATACGCCGCCCCTACAAAGCGAAATATTATATCATCATCACTACCAGCATCATCATCATTACAGTCCTTCACAACTCCACTACTGAGCATAAGTCTCCCCCAATGAATGCCACAAAGCACGGTCCTGAGCCACCTGAATCCATCGACTTCCTGCATATCTCACCAGGTTGTCACTCCGTCTAGTGGGGTACCTAATATGATGGATATCCCATACAAAATAATTATCTCAGTAAAACAGAAAACCTATACTATACACACATACATTCATAAGGGCAATACAAGCTATAATGAATACCCACTATAGAAATTCCTAACTTCATTTCCAATGAATAATGCACGAGGCGGAATATTCTCGTTAACATGCTTCAGCGTCTCTGTGTCAATTATGATAGTTTACCTAATTAAGAATTGTTCAATACATGAACATAAAGTATTCATAGAAAATTAACGAGGTACAATTATACTTAACAAGCTAAATTAATTTGTTACAAATTATTGCAACTGGCAACTGGAACAACCTGGTTTCCTTTCTCACTGACACACTACAAAACAGCAAGGTTTTGTAGTGTCTCAGTGTGCGCTGATAATTTTTGTTAACCGAGTTACAAAAACGAGTTTTTATATTTTTTTTTTATGGAATAAGGGTGACAAACGGGCACACACTCCACCTGATGGTAAGTCGATGCTGTGGACCATAAACATATACATTTATCCTCGATAAAGAAATGCTGATGCGTTGTCACCCCTGAGGACTAATATGGAATGCCTCGATTCCAGTACAAAGGGTCTCTGGTTCTCAACACTCATCATACGAAACACAGCATTATTAAGATACTATTTTACACAGGTATTCTATGAGAGCGTGTCCCGGTCGAGCCGACCCATTCGTGCTACATCATTTAGCTTCAGCGAGGCTCTACCACGTAAAATCTATATTCGGCGCGAATGTATGTCATGCGTTTTATGTATGTCCAGCGATTCCTCAGAAACGGATGAACTAATTTTAAACATTCTTGTCTAATTAAATAGGTAAATACTTCAGTGATGGTCCTATTCAAATTTTAAATAAAATGTCACATCTAAGGGTGGAAAAATAGGGAATGAAGTTTTTAACGTAACCATTTATACGACGTTCTAGATGTCACCAGTTCAAGAGGTATTGAACTTATACTATAATCATTAATTCACACAAAAGGATAAAATATATTAAAAGAAGAGGAGAATTAGGGTAGAAAAGAGGTTACAAAATATTTAAAAAAAACACGACACCGATACTAAGTATATTACCGAGTAACAACTTCCAGCTGAAGGATTTCTAAAAGAAAAGGAATATAGATATAATTAACAGGCTCTAGTTATAACTTTTTAGATTATTTCTCCTGAAAGAATAAATTGCATTAAAATGTAGGTCATTGATTAAATTTTCTTACAGGTTTAAATTCATTTGCATTTAAGTAAATCTGAAAAATGCAAAGATTGCCTGTTTCGAAGAATAAAAGCGAAATTAACACCATTTTTACTGGTAATGTGTCATATCATCTTTGTCCTCAGGGGTGACAAGGCATCCGCATTTTGTGTTCTAATCGAAGATAGATATGCGTGTTTATGAGCCACAGCATCCACAGCATGAGAACTATGTGTTCGTTAGTCATTTTTAGGTTAAGAAAAAACTCACCTTTTGAAGCTTTACCTTATACTTATATTTAAATGCCTAAGGGCCGACTTTTCAATCACCAGATTAGAGATAGAGAGAGAGAAAGAGAGAGAGAGAGAGAGAGAGAGAGAGAGAGAGAGAGAGAGAGAGAAGTTATAGTACTGTTACCATTGCAGCCTATTAAAGTCCACTGTTGAACATAGTCCTCCACAATTGATAGCCTCATAGGGGGGATATTTGACATTGTTACCACCCTTGGAAATCGGGTTGGCAACCATAGCTTTCTTATTTTTAGTCGTTATTAACAAGACGCTGCTGCCCATCTCCTAATTTGTTTCCCTCTGCCGTCTCTTACAAATCCCACGGGATGATATGGGCTAGTGGATATTCTTACACCGCCACTACACGATACAACATATAAAGTACAAAGTAAATAAATTAAAAATGACACTTGTATAAATAAAATAGTCCAATTGGTTCACTTTTGTATTTATATGATGGATAACTTTTAACGTACTTTTGAAAACTCGATTTTAAATAAACCATCATTAGTGATTCAATTGCAACAAACGCCACGGCCGAACCTTATCGTCATGATATTTCCTTAATTGTCGGCCACCACGGAACGCTTTGGTTTAATTAAAACGATGGCGAACGATTTGCGAATCATCTCCGTATATCACGCAACCTGATTGGGAAAATTATCGAGTCACGTTACTGAAATGTATGTTATTATTGATTTTATGCCCAGTTAGCATCATTCTTGCAATGTGGTGGGGACATAAGTAATTTCATCAGCCTATTTTGTTTAGTTGGTGTCGTAAATGGTGACTGCAGAAAGATCTTATGTCTATCGATAGATGGTGGGTATAACCATTAACCACACAGTTCATACCAGACGTAAGTACCGAGACTGCCGTCAAAATGTAGCAAACGTGTACACATTAAACACATTTCAAGAAATATACAAATGCAAAGGGCAAAAATATGCATGCACACGTCTAAGACTGCTTTCGCATTAAAAATTGTTAATAAGCGGTACATGCACATCGTTAATTAATAATGAAACAAAAAAAAAAACAAATAACAAATTAAAAAAGTACTTAAAATGAAAATGTGACATCGAAAAAGTCTCCAACTCAGCATAATGCTGCAAAGACAGCGCTGGTTTTCAGTTGGAGCCTTGTGACTTCACTGACAAGTCGGTGACCACTAACCTACAAGGGATCGTAAACGCGATTGCTAATAATGAGGTCCCGGATTCGAATCCCGGGTCGGGCCAAAATCAGTTATTGTGTTTTTCTGTCGAGAAATTTTCAATAGCAGCCCGGAGTCGGGAAGTAGGCGGTGTTTCACATCGTACAATGAGAGTGAGGGAACAGAAAGTTCACCTGTCCCTGTGCTCACACCCAGGCACTTTAATTATGTCCTGCGCAGATGACTAATCTCCGTAGAGACAGGCCGCTGCGCTGTGACCACAACTTGGCCTGGAGTACATTATTGTTATTACAACGGAAGACAGACGTTCGCATAACTCTCCAAGCCTCGTCAATAATATCATACAATAAAAAAATGGTGCTAAAATTCTATTCAATAACTTAAATCAAAACGAACTGATTTTGTTAAAGTAGAACAGAAATGAACATTAAGGTAGTTTCCCATGATAATCATGCACCTACCTAAATTTTACAGTAAACAGAACTTTCTTAGAACTTGGCAAATATCTCAAACAGTAACTTCATGTACTGAGGAAAAATTTGTAACATATGTTTTTTTTTTCAAAACTAAACATTATCTCCACACTACGAATTTCTCCTGTATGGTAGAGGCAGTATACATACATAAATTTCACAAGGATAAACATCCAGATATGGAACAATTATTTGTAGGCCATACAAATACTTGTTCCGTGAGGGATTCGAACCCGTGACCAACAGCGCTGCAACTCATTGCTAAGCCACTAAGCCATTGAGCCGTCACAGCATTTTTAGCCGTTTACATGTCCAAAATAAGTTCCGACGTATGCACGTAGAAACTTTATTGCTCTTACCGTATATACAGGTGTTCGGTAAATAACGGCGCCAAGGCCTCTATATTATCTCTATACTATGTACATGTATTCTTATTATTAACTAGCTGTGCCCGCGGCGTAGCTCGCGTATACAGGTTTTACATAAAGAATTTGTCGTTTAGGTAAGAGAATATTAAACGATTTATTTCATTACTGTATCAATAAGTGGTAACTAAATAAATCATTATCATCAAAGTTCTAAGTGGTTTATGATAGAGCTTCTGTGTAAACGACGTTAGAAGTAGGCTTAGCCGGGGTGTACACAAAAAGGTTATGGGGGCTATTAACGCGAGAAAAAGCAACATAGTGTTGGCCATGTGCAAAATAGTCAGTACTGAGGTACACTCCTACAACGCCTAAAGTTTGACCTTGCGCTTTATTTACGGTCATCGCATAACACACGCTCACTGTAACTGGGAACTGAACGCGCTTAAAACTGAAAGGAAAGTTACTTCTTAATAGAGGGTTTTTGGGCAGTGCTGCCAGATAAAAAAAAACTCATTCAGCTCTAGGACAACACAAAAAGCGCTAGATTTCATGAAAACAGCGCTTTAAAAAAGCCCTAGATTTCGCGCTAAATTAACTACAAACAAAGTTTGTGTTTTTTTATATAATCATAATAAAGAAAACAACATTAAGTTTTTTTTCTGGCAATATTTTTTTTGATGTATCAATACTTCGCAGGACATCGACTTATATTTATGGCAATTGCTGTCAACAG